GAGGCCATTGCTGTCCAAGTGGCAGTGCCCATCGCTGGGCATGAAAATGCCACCCAATTTCCCATCCCCAGCTGTGTGGAATGTGTCATCTGAAGTGAACACCAGCAGCCGGGTCACATTTCTCCATCCAATCTGCTCCTGGGGTGGGGTGGGGGTAGGCTATGCACCTGGGTGTGGCCCTTGAGCCACCCCAGCCAGCCCTATGAGCCAAGGATTTGGCCAGCCTCATTCTGAGTCAGTTTGTCCATCCCCCTGCCTCCAGCTCCCTGCTCCTCCCCAGCTCCAAAAACAGGGTTGCTGCTCATGGAGGACTGCTTGTGAATTAGAAAAACATGCCTCTTCCTCAAGACATTTTACTCCAGTCCACCAGGAAATGGTCAAAATAAATATGCAAACTACAGTGACTATGACAAGACCCACACCCCCTGGAACTGTGTACTGCCCAACCCCAGATGGCAGTCCTGGCCTCAAACAGTCCTTTGGATCCAGATCCCCACGCTGCCTCCTCACCTGGCAGAGCGCAGCCTGCAGAATGGCATCAAAGCCGCCTTCAGGCGAGTCCAGGTTGCCAGACACGCTCTGGCGTCCCACCTCCCGCTGGAAGGCTTCAGCATCCCCCGTCAGGGACAGCACATGGTGGAAGCTGAAGGGCGGCTGGCAGCGCTCCAGCCGGCTAGGGCAGGGGTGGCGAAGTTTGGAGGGCACTGTGCTCACGAAGGGCAGCACCGTTTTGTCCACAAAGGAGCCAAAGCCTGGGAGAGGGGAGGCATGAAACCTGTACCAGAAGTCAATGGACAGCAGCAGAATGGAGGAGCCACTGCTGAGGACACGGAAGGGAGGAGACCACGGAAGTGAGGGCTGGGGAGGACGGTCGTAGAGGAGGTAATGGGAGCTGAGCTCCTAGAGAGCAGGGACCCAGTACCCAGCAGGAGCAAAGGGGTCAGAACTTGGGCTCAGAGAAGTGGGGGATGGAGGAAATTCAGAGGAGGCCACAGTGGGAGTCAGACAGGGGTTTCCTGAAGGCTGAGAAAGAAGACAAGGCTGTAGGGTGTAGTAGCAGCCTGAGGCAAGGAGGGGATCTCGAATGAGGAGAAATTAGCACAGTGTGCAGCCAGTGACAGTGGCATTTAGGCCTTGTCCAAGAGACATGGCTGAGACAGTGGCATCAGGGCAGTGTCTGGGTCGATCTGGTTACTGTCTGACCCCTTGGGCGCTGTCTGAACAGTCTCTCCAGACTCTGGGCCTCAGTTACCCCTCCTATAAAATGAGTGGTCCTACTGGACAATCTCTTAAGTCCCCTCCAGCTCCGACCTAGAAGATGGATGTCTTTGGGGAGCGATGTCAAGAACCTGCGACCCATTAAAAACTGGGAGATGGCAGGTGAGGCCCTCGTGTGTCGAGCACGCTGGCAGAAGCTGAGGCTAAGGCGGCGGCTGAAGTTAGAGGCAGAGAGCCGGCAGGGTGCCGGTCAGCGCCGCGCTCACCGATGCGCACAGAACGGGTGACCTTCTGCAGCTTCTCCAGCAAGGCGTGCCCGAGCTGGCGCACGCGCTCCAGGTCGTCCTTCATGGAGTAGCTCAGGTCCATAAGGTAGTACAGGTCTACAGGGTATCCTTCGGCACGGAGGAAGCGGACCCGGAGCTGCTGGGGCTCCCCTGCGCGTGGGGGGTGGCAGGCGTGGGTCAGCGGGGCGCATCCAAATCCCAGCCCCGCCCTCCGCCCCAG